ATTGCCGTCTTTAAATTTTATTTTCGGATTAATTGAAATTATTAAAATTTATTTTTCTTCTTAATGTTATGCTTTAGTTAAATGAATATTTGTGTATTTTATTTTTGGGATTTCTTCAAGGATAATTTTAATTGCACACTTCTAATTTTAAATTAGGGTAAATTACCCTGGGTAATAGGCAAAAACAAATGATAATCGTTTTATGACGCATTTCTCTTTTTTGTAGTTAAAAATTATTTTAATTTTTAAAATGATGTGAAGTTTAAGCTCAAGTTAAAGTTTCAGATTATTTAACGAACGAACGAATAACGAACCCTTTTATAACAATAATTGTTTACAATTATTTTAAACAATTTATTGTTTATGTATATATTAGGGTGATTCATTTCCGCAAAGTTTTTGTTTTCTTCGGTGCTCAAGCAAAATATTAATCTGCATATAGAAAAAAAATTCTCAACAAGTTTGAGCTCTTAATATCAATTTTAAGTACTTGCAGTTTAAATTTAAAGTTTTCCCATTTAAAATGCATGTAAAAAAATGGTTTTTTTTCAAATTTCTAATGCTTACCCACCTTTGACAATATTGCAAATCGGTTTAATACACCTTATGGGGAATTTCACGCTCTTTAAAATTGCTTTTGAGTTTTTTTTTGTAACTCGCATTGGTTCACCAGTAGGAGTCGTCAAGGACAGTTTTTAAAAAAAATCGGTTTTTTTTTTAAATTTTTTCTAACAAACCGCAAAAAGTAGGGAGAAAAGTTTTTGTTTTCTTCGGTGCTCAAGCAAAATATTAATCTGCATATAGAAAAAAAATTCTCAACAAGTTTGAGCTCTTAATATCAATTTTAAGTACTTGCAGTTTAAATTAAAAGTTTTCCCATTTAAAATGCATGTAAAAAAAATGTTTTTTTTTTCAAATTTCTAATGCTTACCCACCTTTGACAATATTGCAAATCGGTTTAATACACCTTATGGGGAATTTCACGCTCTTTAAAATTGCTTTTGAGTTTTTTTTTGTAACTCGCATTGGTTCACCAGTAGGAGTCGTCAAAGGACAGTTTTTGAAAAAAATCGGTTTTTTTTAAATTTTTTCTAAGAAACCGCAAAAAGTAGGGAGAAAAGTTTTTGTTTTCTTCGGTGCTCAAGCAAAATATTAATCTGCATATAGAAAAAGAAATTCTCATCAAGTTTGAGCTCTTAATATAAATTTTAAGTACTTACTATTTAAATTTAAAGTTTTAACGTTTAAAATGCATGTAAAAAATATATTTTTTTTTCAAATTTCTAATGCTTACCCACCTTTGACAATATTGCAAATCGGTTTAAAACACCTTATGGGGAATTTCACGCTCTTTAAAATTGCTCTTGAGTTTTTTTTTGTAACTCGCATTGGTTCACCAGTAGGAGTCGTCAAAGGACAGTTTTTGAAAAAAAAATCGTTTTTTTTTTAAGTTTTTCCAACAAACCGCAAAAAGTAGGGAGAAAAAAGTGCTGAATCAAAAAAAAAAAAAGTTATCCAACCAATATTTAATGAATTTACAGCCATTTTTATAACTGAAAACGTAAGAAATTGATAATTACAAACTCATAATGTTATTTAGATTGATTTTTTCTATTTATTATCATTATATTTTGCTAGACTAAGAAGTTTTTTAAAATTATTAATTTCTCACTTATAATGAAAATGAAAACAACAGATAAATTCATAAAAAAATAGCAAAAAAGTATAAATGAAGATTATTTAATTTTTTGAAGCGAAATTTGAAATATGTTACATAACCTTCTGTATATTCCGATTAAAGTTTTGTTGTTTTTTTTTATGAATTTATGTGTTGTTTTCATATTCATTATGAGTGAGAAATCATAATAATTTTAAAAAAGTTCTTAGTGTAGGGAAATATAATGATAATAAATAGAAAAAATCAATCTAAATAACATTATGGGTTGGTATTTATCAATTTCTTACGTTTTCAGTTATAAAAATGGCAGTAAATTCATTAAATATTGGTTGGATAACTTTTTTTTTATAAATCAGCCCTTTTTTCTCACTACTTTTGGCAATTTGCTCGAAAAAATAAAAAAAAAAACGATTTTTTTTCAAAAACTGTCCTTTGACGACTCCTACTGGTGAACCAATGCGAGTTACAAAAAAAAACTCAAAAGCAATTTTAAAGAGCGTGAAATTCCCCATAAGGTGTATTAAACCGATTTGCAATATTGTCAAAGGTGGGTAAGCATTAGAAATTTGAAAAAAAAAACATTTTTTTTACATGCATTTTAAATGGGAAAACTTTAAATTTAAACTGCAAGTACTTAAAATTGATATTAAGAGCTCTACCTTGGTGAATTTTTTTTTTCTATAGGTAGATTAATATTTTGCTTGAGCACCGAAAAAAAAACAAAAACTTTGCGGAAATGAATCACCCTAGTATATATATATATACACTGTTTAAAATATCTGTGGTGTAAAAAGCAATCTTAAAATGGTGTGAAAATCCAACACCAAGTGGTGTTAATATAACACCATGAATTATGGTTGTATGTATTTTGACGAGTTACGATTAGCGGTGTCGGGTTCACTGGTAGCGCATCCGACCGCGAAGCGATAGGTAAGCGGTTCTAATCTCAGGTATTAATGATGTCATCGGGCGGGTCTACAGATCATATGGTAGCCGTCGAATAGGGGGGCTGTTTCTATTGAAAATATACAGGGTGTCCCAAATATATACTCCAGAAAAAATTATACAATATATTCCCATTCGGCTGGTAGGCAAGGGGGTGCCGGGGGGCCGGGGGGCCGGGGATCGTTGAAGGGATGGGCTTTCAAAATTCCCGCCAAAACGTGTGACCTTGGAATGGACCAAAATCGGAGTTTTGGACCTTAGATTTTCCTATGGGATTTAACATGGGAAAATGACCGAAATTGGGGTAGAACTCTTGTTGCTTATTTATTGAAAATGTGTACCTATCGCGGCAAAGGCGGTGTGGATCACGTGATGTTCTTAAATCTCGCCTCTGTTGACTTACATGAAGAATATATAAACTCAGGTGATCCTTTGCTTTGGTGTGACACTACAAGTTGTTTGATACTAAAGGTGGAAACAGCCGTCAATACTTGAAGTATTTTAAGTTAGTGGAAGGCACTAAGGTTCCATTTTCTGGAATAATACCACTGGTAATATACTAGTAATGTGTCAAGGAACTTCCTGTTTCCTTTTTTTTCCTTTTTTCTGTATAGTATGATTTAATTTGACCACAAACACATAATATTTAACACTGAAAAGGAGTTCAATTTACACCAGGTAAAATTTATTTTAATAGTGTGAAAGTTAAATTAACACCATTTTAGTATTTGAATTAACACCGGGCCAACGGACCACATTTAACACCATTTTGGTTTGTATCTATATAGACCATGTATGGTGTTAATTTGGTGTTAAAATGGTCATGAAATTTTGAACAGTGTAAAATTAACAATACTCACATTAATATATTTTTTAAATACAGTATGTTTTATTTAGTTTTGTTAATAACTATAAGTATAACTTAGAGTACCTGCATTGGTTTGTCACAATTTGAACTTGAGTAATTATTCATTTTATAGGAGAAATATTTTTGGTTTAGTAATAGCCTCTCTCGGGTCTGAATAAATCCAGAAAACTTCCTTTTACTGACATCGTACTAATGTTTAGTTGTTTAAATGTTGCGTTAAATAAATGTTTGGTTTGAAACAGCTGTCAGAAATAACCTCAAAATATGTTGCGTTGCGATGTTGCCATGTTGATGCCTATTGTCTCAGCAGAAGAAATTTTTGTGTTTAAGAAGGCTTATTCCAGCAAATATTTTGTTTTTTTGAGTTATTGTAAATAAGTATGACCACATGCCGTTGGTGTCAATAATTTGGAGTTGGAGTTTTGTTGGATTTGTTGGGTCTGGGTTGTAGGACTGTTGCCAACACTGAATTAGTGATTTTTAGTAATTAGGGTTGATAGACTTTTTTCTCGAATTGTCGAAATTTCTAAGCGTCCTTCTTGGCTTCGTTCTCGTGCTGACTATAGTCTGTAGACGGAAGTTTAAGCAGCTAGCTTATTATGGGAGAAAATCCTAGCATTTCGTAATAAATCTTCCAGTTGAGTTCCTCAATAACATGCCAAGCACATTTAAGTAGTATTGTGTGATATGATTAAGCTCTAGGTGAGTTGATAACTTTTAAAATAGCGATAGAATATTTTTAACCACGCGGTCTCCATTTTAGGTGTTCGTGATTTTCCAACGTATTTTTGTTGACCTAGTCCTTGAATGGTTCTTAGTTTAAAACTCCTTAAAATAAGGGTAAGCTAATGCACTCGGATTTTGTAGGGTGCTATAGCGGGTTCGTATTTCTTTTTAGGGATTTTAAGATGGAGTATTTTTTTTCTGTGGAGCTAATCAGTTTTTATTGGATTTATGCAGTTTTCCATGTTTATGGAATCCAACAACACTATTTGGTTATGTTAACTATGTTTATGGAGTCCAACAGGACTGTTTGGTTATGTTAACTATGTTTATGAAATCCAATCCAACAGTCTTAAGAACCACAACTCCACAGGTCCAGCAAGACACAATCGAGTCAAGCCAATATGTTGGTAGAGGCCCCGATAAGCCAAGATCATCTAGTAGTTAGTTCGTACCTATATTATTTTTAAAAATAAATTTTAAACAATTTTTTGTGATTCCTGGATTCTATTGATCATACACTTTTAAGGTGGTACGTGATTTCTTTATGCAATTTTAATTAGAAATCTTTAAGTTATATTTAAGATTATAAATCACTGATATAATTCTTTTGTAACTTTTTTTGGAGTAGATATTTCTTATTATAAAAATTATTAAAACCAAGTAAACTTAACTTAATAGTAATGCAAACATGGACCAAGGACTGTATTTGTTTAATATATTAACTTATTTTATCAAACTTTGGGTAAAGGGAAATCTTCACAGTACAAACAAAGCCAAATTTACCTTAATATCCGGACATAAGTTAAATCTGGCCAAATTGATGGCAGTTCCATTTCCAAAGCTGCCGCCCGGACAGAACATTCCGTCGCTCCATTGCGGCCCGATCATCCTGCACACTTCCCTGATGATATGAGTTTCCATCAGAGTAAAAACCGGTGCGACCTCGTAAGTGTAGACGCTGGAATTAAGGGCGTCGGTCAACCATTGACCGGCCAAGCCATACGGGTCCAGTCTGGAACAAGCGGAGCAAATAGAAAATGACGAATACATGTTTTAATTGCTCTAATTGCGCTTTGAGAGTCGCCCAAGAGACAATTTCGATTTATCACTCTGCTTTTACATTTATGGGGGTTTCCCAACCAATGTTAAAATATTTGACTAAAATTACAGTGTTTGGTAGAATACTATGAAATTTTTAATGTAATTTTTAAAATATTATTATTTATTACCGGTAAGAGTTTTATTTAGCTATAGTAGCATAGTTGTGGTTTTTTGAGTTGTAGTTTTTTTTAATGTAATTTTTAAAATATTATTATTTATTACCGGTAAGAGTTTTATTTAGCTATAGTAGCATAGTTGTGGTTTTTTGAGTTGTAGTTTTTTTAATCGCTTTTTAAAACAAAACAAATTAATTAAAAAAATATATTTTTAAAAATCTTTTCCAAATCCTTATTGGATAACGTTTTTAGTAATATCTGGTTTACTACAATTTTAAAAATGTATCCTTGTGTCTTCTCTAGAGCATAATTTATATTTAAATCGTTAAGATGCTGAGGAGTTAAAAAACCTTTTATAAATAAATTATTTTATAATAAATCATATGATAATAAATAAATGTTTTGTAAGGGTTAATTTCCAAAATTCTATAAAATACATAAATAATAATACCCAAGATAATACCACACGTCTATTGGTCTGTCCCACGTTCGACGCGAAGAACATCGTAACGCAGTCTTAGAACAAAAAAAACATCTTCCTTAGCTGAACACTTCCGAAAAATTTCCCATGAAATTGACTTTGAAAAAACAATGGTCTTGGCTAGCATCGAACACGGGACCAAACGTACCATGCGTAAAGCCATTGAAATAGAAAAACGTCCAATAAACCTTAACACAGACGATACACAGAGACCACCAACTGCATGGAAACCAGCTCTTACAACCACCAAAACCCCACGTAGATTCACGAGATCAATGGAGCCGAACATAACAGGTTCAATCGGAGTCACGGTTAATGATGAGGAAAACTAAGAGGGTATATAAACAACGATCAGCGACAAAGGAGCTCACTCCAGGTCTAACTCGCAGCAGAGCAGCAGCAGCAGCCCAGCAGCCCTGAAGATGGTATATGAGATTGCACCGAAACGTAGTCATACATACCTACTGTTCTTTTAAAAACCAAAAATCGACAACACGGAGCCAATCCCGGAAAACCATTAATGCATATATACAGGGTGTTTCTTTTAACTTGAGACAGCTTAATAACTCGAGAAATACGCATTTCACGGAAAAATGTCTTAAATAAAAGGTTAATGTGACCAAAGGGGACATTATTTGGTGCTACCGCTAGCCACCCCCTACCCCTCCTTAAGGGTGAAACGGGGGGTAACTTTGGAAAGTCAAATGGAATGACCCGATTTTTTTCACAGAGTTTGGTAGAACATAAAAAAATAAATAACTTTTATTTAAAACTTTTTTCAATTTATCAACAGATGGCGCTGTAATTCAAAATTTAAGAAAAATGAGTTTCCTTGTAAAATGTATTATTTGAAACGTTTGAAAAACAAAAATTAACATTAACAACAATAGTCGGCTATGAAAACAATTTATAACAAATGTTCGAAATGTCGTCATTCCATTTCAACACATTTTTGAATGCGGGTAATGAATTCTGGCACACAACGCGCCAACATATCGGGCGGTATCGCCGCACAGGCGTTCCTGATCCGCTCCACCATGTCCTCCCAAGTTGTAGGAATTGCAGCGTAAACTTTTTCTTTCAAGTAACCCCACTTGAAGAAGTCTGGTGGCGTAAGATCAGGTGATCGAGCAGGCCAAATTACTGGACCACGTCTACCGATCCACAATTGTCGAATAATGTGCAGGACAACCATCTTGCTGGTACCACATGTTTTGGAGCCGTGCTAGTGGTACATCCTCCAAAAGGTCCGTCAGATCGTTTTCTAGAAAATTCCGGTACTTTTCGCCATTTAATGCACCGTCAATAAAGAAGGGTCCGATTAATCGTTCGCTTAAGGTACCGCACCAAACGTTTACCGACCAGGGACGCTGGTGCTCCACTTGGTGTCGAAATGGAAGGACGACATTTCGAACATTTGTTATAAATTGTTTTCAGAGCCGACTATTGTTGATTTAATGTTAATTTTTGTTTTTCAAAAGTTTCAAATAATACATTTTACAAGGAAACTCGTTTTTCTTAAATTTTGAATTACAGCGCCATCTGTTGATAAATTGAAAAAAACTTTCAAATAAAAGTTATTCATTTTTTTATGTACTACCAAACTCTGTGAAAAAATTCGGGTCATTCCATTTGACTTTCCAAAGTTACCCCCCGTTTCACCCTTAAGGAGGGGTGGGGGGTGGCTAGCGGTAGCACCAAATAATGTCTCCTTTGGTCACATTAACCTTTTATTTAAGACATTTTTCCGTGAAATGCGTATTTCTTGAGATATTGAGCTGTCTCAAGTTAAAAGAAACACCCTGTACATATATATATACTGTGCACTTTTTGGCCAAATAACATAAATAACTATTTATTAAGTCCAGAAAAACTGGATTTTATGGCAAGAACTGAAAAAAACTCAAACCCTTTATTTAATGGATGCCCTGTTATAAAAATTTAAATGCATTTAAAGCACTGATATATATATATATATCGATTTTCTAAATATTTTGTGATGTTCCACATCGTTGTACATTTCAAAAGGATTGTTTTGCCTTTGGATGGCTCTTATTAAATTTTTAATCTTTAGAAGGCGGCGAGAAAACGACAATAATAAATAAAACTTGATGTATATAACCATCACAGAGAATATATACATCATATTGTTACAATATATAAATTATATCGTTACAATACATTATATTGTTACAGTAATATTGTACAGGTCTGTATAGGTTTATTGTTTTTCTAGGATACCTATGCTGTAATGGTTAACTTCTTAAGACAATATAATGCCAGCATAAATTTGCAGGAGGAAATAACTATCCTCAACTATGTTGCAAACTCGCCACCAATTAAGGTAATTTAAAACTATGTAAAATACAAATAAAAAATCATTTACCCTGAAAACAGTTGGTTAATAAAATACGGATGTCCGGTCTTGACGCTAAATTTGATGGTATTTTTCAACAACAACAATAACTTTTCATGATCTTCACCATTTTGCGTTAAGGAAAAGTCAAATTGTTCCTCCAATTTATCTGGCGGAATCCAAAGTATTACCTTATCTTGTCTTGTGGTAAAGACTACATTTTTAAACAATATTTCAATAACAGTTTTTAAAAATTCACCATGTTTTTCTTCCACTGGCACCGGACAAAAATCACCCATGTTGAGCTACTAAAACTTAACGGACAATTTAATTAAGGTTTTGTTTAATTAGCTTTTTATCAAATTATTATAATAATTACCTAAGCGCTGTGATGAAGTTCTTCCTTATTAGATTATATTTGATCGACAAACCAATTCTTTTAATAGGATTAATAAAGCAAGTATATTTAAAATGATTTACAGACTAACCGCGTGTTGGGTCAAAAGTTTGTTACACTTAGGATTTGTTATTAATTTTGTTTACTCTATAATAAGTATTAATTTTCACTAAAGCCCGGACTTTTAGGTACTTAAAATTGAAAAAAGTCATAAAAAAGGCAATTAGAAAAAGCAAAATAGGCACCAAAAAAGCAAAAAAGGAAATATTAAAAAATAAATGCATGTAATTCATATTATTAAATGCTCTAAACTCGAATTTACTCGTAGATGCGCAAATGGAGAAGACAACATACGTATTAAACATGTCAGGGGAATACCCCAAATATGTTTAAACTAAATAAGCCCAACAGCGAAGTATGCCTAAAACTCTATTTTCAAAATGTTAGAGGATTGAATAGCAAGGTTGATGAATTCTATTCCGCTGTAAACTCTTGTGATAGTGACTTTGTAGTGCTAGTTGAAACATGGCTTCATGATTATGTACATAGTTCTGAACTGTTTCCAGATAGGTATGCTGTACTGCGAGCAGATCGTTTATATGACCGCACTACCGCCTCACGGGGTGGCGGTGTTCTGATTGCATATGATCAAAAGTATAAGGTAGAGATTATTGATTTAGTTAATCTTAGAAATGATTTCCCATTAATTGATGTATTAGGATGTAAATGTTACTTTAATACCTATTGTTTGTTTATATATGTACTTTACATACCTCCTCATATACCTGGAGCCGAATATGTAGCTTTTTTGGATCATTTTGAGAGCATTGTTGTTAATAATAAAAATATATTAATTCTGGGCGATTTTAATGCCAACAAATTCATAGTTAAAGATTCAACTGATGTAAAGGCTCAATTGCTGAATGAAATGTTGGCATTTTTGAACTTAAAACAAGTAAATAATATTTTAAATCATCAGCACCGCTTGTTAGATCTTGTTTTAACCAATACGAAATGTAATATTTTTCCTAATGATTGCCCATTAACAGCAGCTGACCCATATCATCCAGCAATTGATGTATTTCTAAAAGTTGAGCATTCAAAAACAAGAAATTTTTTGCAGAATGACACGGTTAAAGCATACAACTTTAAGAAAGCAATAATATTTTTCCTAATGATTGCCCATTAACAGCAGCTGACCCATATCATCCAGCAATTGATGTATTTCTAAAAGTTGAGCATTCAAAAACAAGAAATTTTTTGCAGAATGACACGGTTAAAGCATACAACTTTAAGAAAGCAAATTATCCTGCTCTATATAATGAGTTGTTATCTATCGATTGGTCAATTTTAGATAACATTTTGCATGTAAATGATATGTGTGAAAAGTTTTATGAAACCCTGTACAGACTATTTGATAAGCACGTTCCTCGGTTCAATTTAATTAAGCACAAATATCCACCATGGTTTACATCAGAAATTATATACTCACTAAAATTAAAATCTAACTTTCTAAAAAAATTTAAACGTTCGCAGAATCAACATTACTTTACGGAATATTCAAGACTTCGCACATTTTGTAAAAGGAAAATATCACATCATTACAAACAATACTTAATGAATATTGAGAATAATATTTGCAAGGACCCTAAATTATTTTGGAGCTTTATACAAAACAAAAAAAAATCCACAAGAATACCTGGTGAACTGTACAATGAAAACTCTGAGTATACAACTCCCTCGGAAATTGTTAATGGTTTTGCTATGTTTTTTAATTCTGTTTATTTGCCAAACTCGCATCAAGTTGTGGAAGGTGAATTTAACATTAACACAAACTTAATTCATCTTAATTCTATCACTGAGGTCGATATTCAACGCGCTATTAAGAAACTTCCCAATAAGCTCACATCTGGTAATGACATGATACCAAGTTTTTTGATTCGCGATTGCACAAATGTGTTTGTTAAGCCACTATTTTCTATCATCAACGCCATTCTTAAAACATCTGATTATCCAACCCTCTGGAAGATTACTAAAGTATGTCCGGTATTGAAATCGGGTGATAGAAGTAACATATTAAATTATCGGCCTATATCTATTCTCAACAACTTTTCAAAGGTATTTGAATTGTCCGTGTACACTCATCTATTTAGTCAAACAAAAAATGTTACATCTATTTATCAACATGGTTTTATGTCTGGTCGATCTACCGTTACTAAACTGTCAATATTTAAAGAGTTTATTACTAAAACTTTTGATAATAGAGGACAGGTTGATGTAGTGTATACAGATTTCTCTAAGGCATTCGATCGAGTTGATCATTCCATTTTACTTCGGAGATTATGCGAGGTTGGTTTTGACCTAAAAATTGTTAATTTGTTTCGTTCATATCTTCAAAATAGGTCTCAGTATGTATTCTATAACGGCTTTAAATCTAATAGTTATATTGCAAGTTCCGGTGTTCCTCAGGGTTCCAACTTGGGACCTCTGTTATTTAACATATTTATTAACAACCTATCCCAATCACTAACCTCCGAACATCTATTATTTGCCGATGACCTCAAAGTCTATCGGATTATTAATGACATCGAAGATTGCAAAAAACTACAAACTGAATTAAATCATATTAACGACTGGTGCAGAATCAACAATTTAACAATGAATGTAAATAAATGCAAAATTTGTTCATTCAGTTTAAAAGCAAACCCTATCATTTATCAATATAAATTTGACAATGACTATCTAGAGCGTACAACCTCAATTAGAGACCTTGGAATTATTTTCGATTCACAGTTATCATTCTCAGATCACATACAATCAATAGTTAGTTCTGCCTTTTCCACCCTGGGTTTCATAATTCGTAACTGCACAAACTTTACCAACATTCATACATACAAGATGTTATATTGTTCACTGGTTGGTCAAAACTTGAATATGCGTCTCTAGTTTTTTATCCTTATTACAACATATACATTGATAAAATTGAGAATGTACAGAGACGTTTTCTAAAATATTTGTCGTATAGATTAGATGGAGTATATCCTCAAAGAGGTATTGAGCAAGAACACTTGCTATTAAAATTTAATTTACTTTCCCTTAAAGATAGACGATTTATATATAGTCAAGTCTTTCTGCATAAATTATTACACAATCAAATCGACTCATCAACTCTCTTGTCAATGCTTAACTTTTATATACCCAGAGTAAACTCACGCCATCGCATAACTTTTTTAAATAATATGTCAAAATCTAATGTTTCATTAAATTCTCCCATTAATATTATTTCACGTAACTTTAATTTAATCTGTAATTTATGTGATATTTATACCTGTTCAATATCTGCTTTACAACATGTTTGTTTTACTTATCTACAAAGCAACAATTATTAGATTATTATGCATTTAATGTTATTACTAATTTTTATTGTAATTTTGTCCTGTTATTGGATTTTCTGTTGGGCAAATAAATACATTATTATTATTATTATTATTATTATTATTATTATTATATAATTCATATTATATATATATATATATATATATATAAATTACAAAATATATTTAAAATAATAAACAACTAATTTAACAAAATTTATGTATAATATACATTGTATTTGTACATACAAAATTTAAAAAAGAAAATATTTTTAACAAATAATTTTTGGTTTTGTTGGTTTATTTGCTATTAAAATAGTACACAATATTTTTTTTTTTAATTTTCTTTCCTCAAAGAATGTCTTTTTTCCACTCTTCCATTACGGAATATGACTCGTTTTAATATTTTTAATGTGGAATGACATACATAATATGTATTATATTATATTCACCCATAATATAACATCGATGATATTTTTAAATTGAAACCGAGCTGCAGATTTCAGTCCGCAGGACGAGTGAAATGTGCTGTTTCGGTTCCAATGAGTAAATATCATCGATAATTAATTATACCACGAGTTATATTTAGTGAGAAAATATAATGAATTTTAGGATTTAACGAATTGTCAGTTTGACATTTGAAATTAAAATGTGCTTTAAAATATAAAAAGACTTTAATAAACCTTATTTATTCAAACTTACCATAATTTTATTATCGTTTCACCAACCCATCGATCTTTTAGATTTTATAATTCATTATTTTAATCATTTAACAAACACAGTATTTAAATGTTAACAAATGTCCAATCAAGAAAAGTATCAAAATCCTTAGCAACGTGTAAACAAGGTGATAAAAAATATTGTCGCTGTGATAAAATGCGTAACCATGGAATACTGGAATTGTATTGGTTCTAATTATAATGAATTGTATTTTCCTTAAAGTATTACAGAATGAATTATTCTTTCTTTGGATGACGGAATAAACACTGGTGGCGACATCTCTGTGTTAAATATCTAACAAATTTAGACCGATCCATCCTCACTTTCTACCAATTAAATTATTTGTTACGGTATTTTTTGGAAACGTAGAAAAAGTATAGTCTGAAACACGTTTTGATATGCCGTATTCCAAACTTATTACAGAATATACTATTACACAGTAGGACAAAACTTATTACAGAATATTCTATTACACAGTAGGACATTATTTTGATTTTTTTCCTATAGATTTTGAAATTTTTTTTTATTTAGTAATAAATTAGTCATAAAAATTGTTAATTAAAATATTGTTGGTTTATTAATTTGTCACACTTATGCATTTTTTTTTGTTAATAAAATATTCATAAAATAAATTTTATATTTTATTGTCTCCAATGAGCTAGTACTTTATCTAGTTGATATTCTACAGCTTTGTTGATTTTTTTCAAAATAAGCAAATATTGTTTGTATTACTTTTAAATTTTAAAAACGTTTGGCTCGTCAATGTTTTTTTTAAATTGACTGACTGGTTTTTTATCAGTCATTTTGTGTTTTTTGAAAACACTTAAT